CAAGGCTTCGCTCTGGAGCAGCTATGTATTTCTACCAGGCATGCTTAGAAGAGAAATGCAGCAGGAAGAGGTAACGAATCCATCCTTCCAGTGCTGAAAAATTCCTTTCCTGCCTGCTAGTTCTCCCCTTCTCGGGTCCTCTAGTATCATACAACTCGAATAGAGTGGAAGGAAAAAGAAGAAAATTAGGGAGCTGAAGTACTCCACAGAGTGAATGACTGTTGGTTTTCCAGGTTGTAGCTTGATTTCCAGGCCAACAAAAGCAGTCTCCTTCCTTATGGTACCTCTGAGGGACTGATAACAAGTCAGAGATATGACGAGAGATTAAAGTCAGAAGTAATGGTAGGAACTATAATCGGCAAACTTCTAAACGCCCAAATTCTTCCTTGACAATTACTGTTCCTCATGAGGTCTGGAGGTAGATACACATACAAAAGAAAATAGATTTTCATTCTCATTAGCTAGACTTGTGCAAACAGGATCTCTCTTTAGCCAGGGCTGGAACATGAATAGATGGGGTGAAACCAAAGGACGTTTGCCCCTTTTCCAAGCCAAAACTTAAACCTTATTATCATTCAGACTCAAGAATAGACAATATAGTCAAGAGACGAGAATTCCAGAATGTGCTTAAGAGACTAGCAGAGAGAAGCGTATGGCCAAAGGCCCTCTGGGCACAGTGCCCACTGGTTGAGCTGCTCATTTGTTTTTGAAGGTGACCTTGAATGTAGTGATCCTGCCCTCTAGTAATGCAGCCCAATGAGCATCCTGTAAGCTGGTTCAACAGTTCGGTGTGCCTTCCTCCTGGGAGAAAGCGAAGAAAGAAGGGAAGACAGCCAGGGCCTGCATCTCCCTGGAGGTGTGCACCTCCCCAGATGCCTACAGCTCGAGAAGGCTTCCTTTGAGTTCAGCCAACAAGTTTTTGTCTAATATGGTTAGTCCTCAGGACATGGGGAAAATTATATGGAGAAAAAATATTATGGATGTATGCCTCAAGTTGTGGGCTGTGGAAATAGCAGCCCATAATTTCTTCTCTGTAATTTCCTCTCTCATATTTATGTTGCCTAAACGGTGGGTCCTGAGCTCGCAGTTCATCCTCAACTTCAAGGTCCATGGTTTTGGGGGTTATTTGCATGTATCCTACTGCTCCCTATTTCCAGAGATGTCTCCACAGTTGAAGAGCAAACTCCTCGAGGCAGGAATTTCTTTTCCACTTTTCCACATACACAGTATTCTTTAAATAGGTAGTTCAGGAGAAGTTCTTAGAGCCCAACTGGGACCAAATCCCCATTTTACAGATGACAAAGCTGAGGCCCAAGAGGGCCAAAGGCTTTTTGACCAATTCCACACATCTGTCTCTGAGCTCAGTATTCTCTCCACTGTACCACACTGCCCCAACCACAAGTAAGGTTCTCTTAGCAACAGCCATGCACCAACGTTGTATTTGTGTGTAAATGATGTGTATTTGTGTGAGTAAATAGAAAACAATGCAATATATACTTTATTAGAGCAGAGTATTACCTAAATGACATACAGTTGAGTTTGAAAATATCAGTATGGAGCAATATGTATAGTATAATCTCATTTCTGTTCCTCCCTCCCCAACAAAAACAGCAACCTGTGTGTGCTTCTGTGTGACCGTTTCTATGAGTATCTATATGTATGTTCACAGGCATAGAAAAGGTCCAGGATGTATGCCCACCAAACCGTTAATAGTGACTTCATGTGGGTGGGAGACTCATTCTTTTACTTATCATACTTTGGTATTGCTACACATTTTACAAAGAGCAGGTGTTAATTTTACAACTAAAAAACCACAAGGGAGAAATAATAATAGCTGCCATTTACTGAGTATGGAATATAAGCCAGGCACTAGGCTGGGCCCTTCGCAAACATCACCTCATTTCATCCTCCCCGTGGTTCTAGCATGTAAGACTATCATGAAAACCCAGATAGGGAAACTGAGGCTTAAAGAGGACATCCAGCTAGAAAGCGGGAGAGCTGCAATCCGAACCCGGGACTATCTGACACGAAAGCCATATGCAGATTATCCCTATGATGCACATGCACTCAGTAGAGAAAAGGGTGTGCGTCTCCCATGGGAATGTCGTCTATTTATTCTCAGTTGCTTCACAGCAGAAAAAGTCTGCCAGCTGCAGTGTGTTGAACTAAGGCACCTTGGGGTATCTGCTGCCTGAGCTGAAGGCCTCTCCCTCCTGGCCCATCCCCCGGGCTCCTCTGTCCTCACCATTCTTGGCGATCTCTCCATGTGTGAATTCCATTACAGGCCTGCTCACTGCTATTTTGGGCCATGCATTAGCACGTGGGCTTTGATTTGATGGGAGAAGGCCAGACACCTCAGCATGATGAAAAAGAAATTAGAAATGTCTCCTCTCTCCCCTCAGAGTCCCAGAAGCCCACAGCTCCTGGGGGGCCTGAGAATCCAAAGTATGGGGAAATGTAGGAGGCGAAGTGGAAACTTTCATATCTATTAAGGCTGTTTCTTCTCGAAATTGCCATCTCTTAGCCATCCACATGGCTCACTTCCTCACCTCCTTCAGGTCTCGACTCAGATATCAATTCACCACCAAGGCTTTCTCTGACCACCATTCTGAAACAGCACCTCCCTCCCCACCCCTGCTCTCCCTGGCTCTGTGTCCCTTTGTTTCTTGTGTAGAGCTTGTCACCAGACACACTACATATTCACTGCTTTGTTTACTGTTCCCACCACTAGAATACAAGCTCCGTAAGGGCAGAACTGTTTTACTCACGGCTGTATCTCCAGTACTGACACTGGTGCCTGGAATGCCATGGATACGTAGGAGGTGAAAAAAATGAATAAATCAATCAAGGAACTTAAGAACCAGAGCTTGAGGAGTAGTCAGTCACTTAGCGCAGGGCCTAGTTTCCCCTCAAATATCATAGGACTATAAAAACTTTAACAGAGATTTGAAAAATCAGAAAAGCATCCTCCCTGCCCCCACGAGCTTTTTTTGCATCCGGACTCGCATGCACCATGAATGAGAAGGCTTTGGGAAATAAACACACTAGGAAGTCGTGTGCAGTTGGAGTTCCGCTTACTAACACATGTTCAAAAACAAAAAGCCCAATTTAGACGAAAATAGCAGGAAACCATCCCCCAGGGATACCTGATGAGGTCATAGTGCTTGGCGCTGCTGTTTTCCATTTTTGTCAAGTCTCTGCCAACTCAAGGAGGCCAGGAACCACATCCAGTCCCCCGCCACTCACTGGGAAGCTAGGGAGCTGCTCAGAGCAGCAGACAACAGACCCGCATCCACGGGCTCTCCTGGACTCCAGACCCATGCCACGAACACACATGATCCTAGTCTCACCTCTCATGTACCTGCTGTGTGACCTTAGACAGGTGCCCACCTGCCTCTGAGTAGAAGTTTCTGCATCCACGCAAGACCATTGCTCTCGGTGTTTTCTAAGGTACCTTCCCGCTGCAACTTCGTATGACCTCTTGCAAAGGTTCCAGAATAGGAGCGGAGAATGGGTGCTGGACCCATTTGGCCAGTCCAACGCCTAAGGGTTTGCCCATGACGGCAGCCCCACCACTTAGAATGTCCAGAGGAAACTGAAGGCTCCACTTGGGAGGAGAATAGGACAGATTCAACTGAGGTGGCAATAGGGGACATTTAGACTAGAGCTATAGGGATGGGGCCATGAGAAACTAAAGCCAATGCCTGAGACAGACTGTCAAGAACAGACCCTCCAATACCCTTTTCCTGTAGGACAAAAAGAAAATGATGCAAGGAAAAATCCCAGGCAGGCAGCACCTGCACCCTCTGGGGACACAGCCAGCCAGGTCTGTTCCAGGGAAATGGGACAAAAGGAACACATTCTTGGGCTGGTTGGAGTCTGAGGAGGAAAGCAGCAAAAATGATTGAGATGCACATCTTTCTGGAGGCAGGGGAGAGGTGTGGGTGAAGCCCCACCACTGCACATGCTGAAGTGGCTCTGCCACACCTCCACTCCGCTCACCCTCCTCCTGCACAAGGGTCCAAAAGCCTAAATTTGGAATCATTTATAGTCTCGATTTCTACCCAGCTTAGCAGCCATTCCCATCCTTTTGGATATGAGCAGGTCCCTATCCATCCCTTTCTTGGCAGTGATGTGTCTGATTACTCATCTGCTTCCAGGGGACTCGGGAGACTGCCAGGAGAAGGGCAGTTGTCTGAGCCATGCAGCCTTATCTGCAAGGTCTGTGCAGCAGAATCAAAGTGGGACCATCGGTGGGGAAATTCCTAAGGTTTTCGGGGTCTCCCAGCGAAGTACGGAGAGCTCTCCAGTGGCCAAGTAGATTGAGAATGGCCCAAGAACAGGCAACAGATGCAGCCATGCATGATGTCTATGCACCAGCTCGATAACATTAATCAAGATAGAACTGTGCTTGATGGCAAATCGATGTGGAAACATTTCTGAGTCAGGTCACCACCCAAGATGAACGAGGTTAGGAAGATGGAAGAACGAGCCCGATGAAGCCAGGAGACTGCTGACCATGCCCTTATTGGCGGGATCTCAGATTTAGCTCACCCAGAACAGATGGAGCAGCCAGGGTTTGAGGCGCCAAATCCCTGAACACTCCCCGTTGCCTCTCCTCTCTGCTGTGTTCCTCTAATCTCCTTCACTTCCTGCCATGCTCTGTGCTGCAGCTAGTCAGACAGCTGCCAGAATCCTCCAGTCCATCCCGCCCTCGTCACTCACACACACACACACACACACACACACGGTGAACTCTAAGAAGCCCCGGAAATATGGCCTGAGGAAATTCAAGGAAAACATTAAACAGTCCGGTAATTTCACAGCAAGTCAAGGGACTGTAGAAACACTGTCTTTGCAAGAGCCTCCCCTCAAAGAAACCAAGGAATGAGAGCTTGGGTCACTTCACTAACTGCTTCCTTCCAAAACAGCGGCACCTGTGTCCGGCATTGACCTAGAAGTGAATTGTTTCATTTCAGACAAAGGAGGAGTCCACTTACTCATTCTTCTCCAAGTCCAGGATGAGTTCTTGTCCCTCAGCCATTACCCTGAGCTCAGCTTTGAGTGGATGCTAAAAGCAACAACAAAAGAATGTCAGTTCCTAAAAGCAGGGTGGAGGCTCCCAGGAACAGATACAGGATCTAGCACAGTGCTCTGACATTGATCCACAGGAAGTAAATGAGAAAGGGTCAAATTGCATTTCCAGCCCAAACATAAAATAGCTTCAGTCCCAGAAGGACCTGATTCCCCTCCCCCATCTGCCTTCTCTTAAAGGACAAAGGAAATAAACTGCTGAAATGTGGTGTAAGTTCTTGCGTGCAGGTCTGGTAAAGGCAAATGCTGGAAAACATCTTCAGCAGCAAATTCCGGGTGGAGTCAGATCTGGATTCAAGTGCTGACTCTGATGCTGCAGTGACGTTGAACTTGGGCTTGTTACTAAACCTCCCTACAGCTCAGTTTCCTCATTTACAAAACAGAGGTAATAATAGTTCACCTTAGGGGTTCTTATAAGGATTAAGTGATATAGTGAATGTAAAGAGTTTATCTGGCATATAGGAAACACCCCCATACATGTTGGCTATTATCTAAAACACCAGCGGGGAAAGCCTCTTCATAGTGAGTTCTTAGTTTCCATTATTTTGTTTTGGCTCTCAGTTTGGATACCCAGAGGAGGCAATTAGGAGCAATTCAAACTAAAGTTTTATATGTCCAAATGAAGATGTATATTTTACACACAAGAGAAACTTTGCTGATGCCCAAAGTTGCTATGCACCCAGCATAGATCGTTTAAGATGTCACACAGATGGCCGATAAGCATGGACGATATGTTCAACATCACTGGTAACTCTCCCCTCCAATTTTTTTAAAGGTATCTTTAAGTGACACAGTGACAAAGATTTTTTAAAACCATAAATCACAGTGCAGCAAAGCATACTGTAAAATGGGCACTCTCATATGCTACCATTGAGAATTTAAATTGATACCAACTCACCAGATAATAATTTGACAGCATGGACTAAGAGTTTTAAAGTGTTTAGACCTCTCACTCAGTAAAGTAAGACTCTGTCTGAAAGGAACAAATGGAAGAATAGGCAAAGGTTCATGCACGAGGATACTCACGACTTATAATAATGATTAATAAAATATAACCTAAATGTCCAAAATAAGAGAATGGTTAAATAAATGATAATCCATTCATATGACAAAACACTAGACAGTCATTAAAAACAATGACTTTAGATAATTCCTAAATTATCAAGAAAGTATACATGATAATCACAAAAACTCAAAATATAACATTATGTTTTATTTAAAGATACAGAGAAAAAATTCTAAACTAATAAGTTACCACAGTTAACTCTAGGCAGTGGGATAGTTGGTTAATTTTATTTTATTCTGTGTAACTTTCCATATTTTTATAATTGCTTAAGAAAAGGCTTTTTATCTCTCTGTGTCATTACTGTGGAAAATTTCAAAGAAATTAAAAATCCAAGTCATAATAAACTTCCATGCTTCAACAATTCAACTTAAGGCACTTAAACTATCTTTGAAGGAAAAAAAACCCCTATTTATTTAAAAGAGGGTATTTACATATTTAAATCTATTAAAACAACATCAATTCTTTGGGGGTATTTTAAATATGTGCCCTCTAACGATATCGAGGAACTGATAAAACTCTTAAAGCCTCTTTCCATACACAGAAGCTCTTGCTAGAGAGGAGTTCCAGCCCCTTTTAATGTGGACCCAAGGACCTAGTTTTGGTGTGTCTGAGAAGGTGGGTCACCTGCTTTGCTGCCGCAGGTGGGGGCCGGCCTCCTCCAAGCACACTCTTCTTATTTGCCTCAAGCCTGGCTTCCCATTAGAGTCCTGGGCAACCCTGAGCACTTTCGCGACTCTGATGAGATCTGAACGTTCTGATCCAGGAGGCTTGAGTAACCCTGTTCTTTGCATTTTTTGTTGTTGTTGTTGTTGTTGTTGTTGTTGTTGATTTATCCTGACTTCTCTTAAGAAGAGACATTTCAAAACTGTGGGGAGAGGAAGCTGGGTGGATGTTTGCCCAATAACTTTCACTAAGGGATTTACTTCTCTTTTTCTGATGCCCTGATTCATCTCTGCCAACGCCTGTGCTGGTTGCTGGTCCTTTGACACTTTACTCTGGGGAGTTCTGGAGTGAGGGCCTTGCCCAATCACATTAGGCTTCAGGGACACAGTCCCAAGTGGGCATTTGAGAAAAAGCTTGCAGCAACAGAGCTGTAGCAATTCCCTTACCAGAGAGGTAGGAGTCCATGTGACAACTCACACAAAAAAAGAAAGTCGACACAAATGAAAGTACTGTCACCTCTCCCCTAAAGGGACATAAGCTACAACATGAATACAGATATTTATTTTTAAGTGAGTCATCCAAATATATTTCACTCTGGTCTGGAAGATGCTCAGACACTGATATTTAAAACATGGTGTTCCTCGTTTCCAGGGGACATTTCGAGCAAAACAATGAAACAGCACTGCAAGGATCTCTGCGGCCTCCCTGTGCAGCTTTACTCCGCTTTTCCCTTCCCGCTTCACTTTGCTAGGAAGGGGCAACATCACCCCTCCTAGTGAGCTTACCACTGGTTTTACTTCCCCAGAGGAGGGTTAAAATTTGTTTCACTTTAGGCTCAGATTAAACAGATCTTCAGCTCCATAGGGTATTGGATATCTGTCTTATATGTTGCATCCCTGTTAAAATCTAGTACGATGTTTAGTATGCAGTGAGTGTTCAATTGATGCTTGATGAATAAATTAATTATATAAATGAGAATAAGAGGCCCAAGTGAGACTCACCTTCTTCTCTCTCTCTCTCTCTCTCTCTCTCTGTCTCTGACATTCATTCATTTTTCATTCAACAAATACTTATGGTACCAGGCACTGTGCTAACCGTACAAAATAAAACGACCCAGATTCTGGGTAGACAATGGCTGGGAACAAAGACAGGATCTGGGGCTCCACTGTGTTTCTCAGGCCCTTCCTGAGGATGCCCGTTATCCCACATCTGGAAGAAACAGAGAGGCCTCTACAAAGAGTATAGAGCCCTTCCTCAGAAATAATGGATAGGTTAAACTATCTAAGATCCCAATTTTTAAAAATAACTTGCTCTAGGATGGCCATCCATTAATCTGTCTAGACTTTTCCTGAAGCTATTTTCAGCCTCTCTTACTTTTTGATGAAATGAATTCCATGCATTTACTGTCTTCTGGTAAAATGTTACTTGCTTTCATTTGTCCTAAAATTTTCGCTAACTTCCCTCAGTAAATCCAAATTGGAGCATTTTTTAAACATGTCTGTGTTACTCTAGCCATAACTTTAAGGGTTCCAGGGATTTTTTCCCTCTATTTACCTTTCTAGATTCAAAAGCCACAAAGTCTGAAATCCTTCCTGACACAGCTCTCTCCTCTCTCTCCAAATATAATCTTGCTCTTATATGTTGCCCAATAAATCATTGACCGTTTGAACCGAAAGGGATCTTATTCACCACCCCCACCCCCCAGCCCTCTTCCTTCTTATTCCCTCTAAGCCCTCTCTTATAAATGAGGAAACTGAAGTTCAGAAGTGGAAGGTCCCATTGCTTGTCACTGGCACACAACAATCACATCTTTCTTTCTAGCTCTTTCTTATCTCACGTGAGCTGTAAAAACCAGAACCACAAAGAATATCCTAGATGCACAGGTCTTCTCCGCAAGAACAGGATAATTCTGTCTGTCCTATTCTCAACCCCCTGGATAAAGACTGTGCACTTTGCTGGGGTCATGGCCCAAGATGCCTATTCAATTTTAAGATATATTCTCTAGTACTAGGTCCCTACCCGGCACCTTGTTAAAAAAAGTTTAGATCATCATTTTCCCTCCAAGTACATTATCTCATCAATAAAATAGAGCACATATTATGCAGAGCAAAAATAATAATGGCAATATTTAATCAATTCCAATTGAGAATCAGTGGTTTTTGTGACACATATTTGCACTTAGCTTGTGTCAGCATTAATGTGGATTTTCATTTCCTCAACTAATAGCATTTGGAAGTGTTCTAGAAGTTTGTCACACAATGAAGGAACGTCCCATCTGGAATTCCAAAAATGACACAGAGAGAATAGTGTGAGTCAGAAACAGAAGTAACAGTGATGACAGGGCCTCCAGTAAAGTCAAGTAGGTCGCCTCAAGCCTCACAGAGTGAAGTTGTCCACTCCTGCCTCTGGAAATGAGAGCTTTTGGTCTTACCCTTTCTCCCATGGAGCCTTCCGCAGCCTTCCACTGAGGTATTATCCGTTCATGCTGTAGCTGGGGGCTGCCTTCCCCACTTCCTCCTGCCAAAACAGGATGCACACCCATTGGAATCCCAGACCTCGGCACCCTAGCTAAGCCAGCCATGCACTGCCAACTTGGAAGAACCCCACATTGGGTCATTAAAAGACCTGCTGGATTCCAGGCTTCTGGCACTGACCATGGCTCAGGCACTCTGCTAGGTGTTAGCAATACAGTTCTAAACAGGGCTAACAAGGTCTCTGTACTCCTCACAAAGTTTATTCAAGAGGTGGGAGACATATCTTCCAGTGGTGGGAGACAGACAACACAAAAATGTTTTCAAATGGTACAATAGGGTCATGGAACAAAGAGAACCGTATTTTAGACAAGACGCTCAGCAAAGATGGCCTTTCATTGAGACAGGAAAAGAGAACCAAGCAAAGATCTGAGAAAAGATTGCTCCAGGTAGAGGAACCAGCAAGCACAATGGCCCCGCCTAAGCAAAAGCAGACTCAGCCTGTTTAAGGAAGCAGAAGGTAGAAGTAGCTGGAGTTTAGTAAATGAGGGGGGAAGTTGGTAGGAAACATGGTCAGCAAGACAGCCATGGGCCTGATATCACAGAGGCCATGGGAAGTATCTGGATTTTATTATAAATAGACTTGGAAGGCATTGAAGGGTTTAAACACAAGCAATATGATCTATACTCAGTTTTTAAAAGATTGTTCAGTCTGCTGAGTGGTGATTGAGGGTAGGGTCAGGGAGAGGTGCGGGAATGAGTAGAAGCAGGAAGGGAAGGCTGGTGACTTGCAGGAGCCCTGGTGAAAGATGGTGGCTCAGACTAGAATGACATCAGTGGAGAGGAATGAAGTGGTTGGATTCTGGGTATATTCTGGAGGCCAAGCTCATGAGTATTATTGCCATCGAACTTCAGTTTTCTCATCTGTAAAATGAAGATAATAATTCCTGCCCACTCATCTACAGCATTACTGAGGAGAGTCACTGTGAGCTTGCTCCACAACCCAGAAAGCATCATCACAGGCTCCTGAGCTTCCTAATGGCAAGTCTGCTTTTGGATATCATTTCCTGCTTTCCAAATCAACCTCACCACCCAGTGCTCCTTCATCCTCATGACAATCCTGGGAGGTAGGTAACAAGATTCCTATTTTGCAAGAAAGGCAAATTGGAACTTGTTTGAGGAGTGACTTGTTCTAGGCAGTGGAGACCTCAAACACTGGTTGCAGACAAACTTAATAAAGTGGTCATTTTCCAAGACCTAGGCATATTAGTCTGCATAAGAATAGGCCAAATCCATAGGATTCCCGGGGATGGGGGTGAGGATTCCAAAATCCATTTTGTCTGAACCAACCACATCAATCACACAGAATGTAATGAGTGATTAAAACAAACAAAAAAAAAGATGGCCATAGTTGTTCTGTTAGAGTGGAGGGATTATGAGTGATTAACTTTCCTTTCAGATAACTGATATATTTTCAACCAAAATATATCCTAAAAATAAATCTCATTAGATTAGTATTAGTTTTATCATGTTGGTAAAATTCAGAAGCAATGCATTCATTTATTCATTATATGTTTTCTGAGTGCTAACTATGTACGAAGCACTATGCTAGGTGCTTGATATATATATATTTATGTAGGTACCAGAGAGGCATAGTCCCCGCTCTAGTGGCTCTGATAAGTCTAGATTCTTTGCAATGTAAGGACTGATATGATATTTAATAGGATATTTAAAGGAATGAAATGACCTTTATGATGCAAAAAAATACTGAAAGCAATCTAAAGGCTGAATAACAGAGGAACACAGTACATCTTAAGAAAAATTGTTCAAAACTTGGAAATAAGGCAAAAGAACAACCAGGATGTCTTTTCAATGTCACATTGTAGCATTGTTTAACAGGCCCTCGCATAGATCACTGAATTATCTAGGGGAATGTACTTTTATCTGATTTTTAAAAATGTACTGTTAATTATAAGACTACACTCCGTTATGTGTTAACTGTAGATTTCCATCCGGTAGAGATGCAAATGGCTTCGGTATGGTAGATAAGTGAGAATTATGGTTGTATAGTTCCATGGAGCATTGAGCACTTTTGCATCTGTCCCAGCACAGGTTTTCAATATAAAAAAACCTGTATCACCCCTGCTCCTCTAATGCTCTGAACCAGCTTCATCATTCCATTCACTGCCTTATTAATGAATTGAACAAATCTTTACCGCCCATTCAACCTATATTTGTATGCCATGTTTTTAACTTATTGAAGATTATGCTTCTGTGATTTCTTGAATCAATTTATAGTCATCCAAATCATGTTTTTGGACAATTTAACGATGTGGAGAATGCTCATTATGTAAAGTAGAAAATGCAAGACACAAAACTGTACATATGGTGTGGCTCCAATTTTCTCAGAATGTGTTTATGGGAACACACACACACACACACACACACACACACACACACACACACACAGACTAGAGAAAAGAGGAGAGACTAGGAAAGCAGCGGAAGGAGAAGCCCAAACCAGAAAAACACAGGAAAAAGAGAGAGGGAGGGAAGCCGGGAGAGGACCGGCGTTTTCTGCCTGCTCAGGACCTCCACCGCCTCCCAGGGCGCATAACGTGGGAACAAAGCCGTGGCTCCCGGGCTTGTGGCCAGTGGGGGTGCAGCCCCGTGGAGTTGCAGGGGACAACTCCCAGGTCCTCGAGATACCTAGCCCACCCGGCTCCATCCCCACCCCAGACCTCCTGCGCCCTGCCACTTACTTCTGGTCCATCCCGGCAGGACGAGCGCCAGCAGGCAGAGCCGGGCGGCGCCCACGCACCCGGGCATGGTGGCAGCGGCCCCTCGCGCGCTCCACGCTCACAAGCACTCGGCCATGCCAGCCCCCTAGCCAGGCGGCGACGCGTCTGGAACCCACTGCTCTCCCAGCGCCTCCCAGCCCAGCTCCTAGCCATCGGCCGCGACGCTCCGCCCTCAGCTCCGCAGGGCTCCGCCACCGGGTGGAGGAGGGGACGCGCCCGCCTGGAGGGGACGGGAGGGGCCGCCGGGGGAGGAGCCGGCGGGACCCCTGGGGAGCCAGGCTGGCTCAGGTGACCCAGAGCAACCCAGAGAAGAGGATTCCTTCAAGGTGGGCGCGGCCTGGGGCGGGCGCAGGGGGGCAGTTCCTGGACTCGGGCTTCCAGGAGTTGAACTGGACCGCTCTGTGCACAGCGGCCCGTTTCCTCTGTCTTTCACTGTGCTAGATGTCTTGGGTGGCACTCAGAGGCTACTCATCCAGCATCGGTCCCCAGATACCGCCACTCTTGGAGGCAGGCTTCGAAAGAGTTAACCGAACCACCATGCACACAGAACAAAGTGCTATATGGAACCGTTTTCTTAGCAGGACATGCGAATCAAGAAGCAATTCCTTCTGACTGGGAGGAGGGAGTGGTGAAGAGAGGCTTCTCAGAGGAGAAGACATTTGAGCTGGGGAGGAGGAGGATTGGAGCACCAGGCAGAAGAAATGGCCTAGACAAACATACTGGGGTGGGAAAGCCCATGGGTTGTATTGGAGGGGGAACTGGAATTTGGAATGGACAGGATTTAGGGCTTTGGGGGGAAATTAAGGGAGTTGAGACCAGAAAATAATAACTATCACTTTTTGAGGCTTACTAACTGCTGGAAAAAGGAAATAACGACGACTAGTATAGCACTTACTAAGTGCCAGGCACTGTACGCATCACTTTACATCCATTAACTTATTTCATTAATTAATTTAGGAAAAGAACTACCCACCTTTTAATTATCCTTTTATATGTGCCAGGGACTCTGCATACATCATCTCTTTCGATTAGCTCAATAATCTCCTGAGGCAGGTACAAATAGGATCCTGTTTTAGAGGTGAGAAAACCAAACCTGAGAGGCTGATTTGCCCAAAGTCAATTACCTCTTTTAAGGCTTTATCTCCAAATACAGTCACTCTGGGGTTAGGGCTTTGAGATATGAATCTGGGGTGGGGGTGGGGGGCACAATTCAATCCATAACATTCCATCCTCTGCTCCCCCCAAATGCATGTCCTTCTTGCATGCAAAATGCATTCATCCCGTCTATGCCCATGCCACCCTGAACAAGCCCGATCACGTCTGATCTCGGAAGCTAAGCAGGGGCAGGCCTGTTTAGTACTTGGATGGGAGACCACCTAGGAAGACCAGGTGCTGTAGGCGTAAAAAATAAAAAATAAGGGATTATAAACTGACAAGGTCCTTGCAATCTGTGAGGTCAACCAAGTGTCGCCTCGCCTAAAAAAAAATGCATTCGCCTCATCCCAACAGTCTTAAATCATTCCAAGCACCAACTCCAAGTTCAGTGTCTCACCTAAATATCACCAGATATGGGTGAAATTTGAGGTATGATTCATCCCGAGGCAAAAATCCTCTCCATCCAGTGAACCTGTGAAACCAGCCAAGTTATATGCCTCCAAAATAGAAGTATAGGGTAGACATTTCCATCCCAAAAGAGGAATCAGAAAGGAAGGGGTGGCGGGTTCAGAGCACATTCAAAACCTAGCAAGGCAAATTTTACTAAATCTTAAAGCTCTAGTACAGTCTTCTGGCTGGATTCTTTGCCTTCTGGGCATAGCGGGGCAGTAGTGTCATCCCCATGGCCCTAGACAGCAGCTCCCTCACCCTGCGGCTTTTTGGGGTAGCCCTGCCTCTGAGGCTCTGTGTAGGAACAGCCTGGCTCCCTGAAACCAAGAAAGAAATAGCCTTGCCTTCCAGGTCTGTATGCTCTAGGCACACAGTGGGAATGGCATCCCTGGTGATCTCTGAATCACCTTCAGGGTCATTCTTGCCTTTTCCTGAAAGATAAAGCATATTTGCAGCCAAATAGCTCTATTGTCCTGTCCTGTAGAATTCCAAAAGTCCAAAAGCCTTTATTTTGTCCTGCCTCTGTTCCCTTCAGTCCAAACTGGAAGTGTCTCACTGATTCTATAGATTGTCTACTTGCAAAAGGCATACAAACTCCGATCTGAAATTTGCTTCCATTTGCTGGCACTCAGCTGATCAATATTTAATCAGCATGTACACCCAAAACTGGGAAGTAGCTCACAAGAGAAAAAGTCCAGTGGTTATCACACTCTGACCAAGGAGTGAGAATGTTCCTAGTTCTGTCCTCATCCAGCCTCCCAACACACACACTTATACACAGGAACAAACATATATGCAACTTTTGACTCCTTGGAAGCCTTCCCATTTATTTGTAAAGAATGTATTTGTTGTTTATAAAGAATACTACATCCCTACATATTCTTTAAAATATTTATGACATTTAACCTACATTTCTGGGAAACTATCCTAAAAAAACAATCTGCAATGCACACAAAGATTTATGGACTAGAAATGTTCATAGTGATGTTATTTATAATAGTGAAAATATTGGAAAGAACCTAAATATCTAATTATGAAGGAACAGTTAATAAATTACAGAATATCCATCTGATGGATTATTATGCAGCTAGTTTAAATAACATTTACAAAGAGTTTATACTCTGATGTTAAATGAAAAAAAGTAAGGTCCAAGATTACATTTAGGTATGATCTCAGTTATGTAAATGAAAGCCATTTTTTAAAAAGACTTGAAGAAAATGTACCGAAATGTTTTCAGTGGTTACCTCTAGATGGTGAGATCATGGGTGGATGAAGGTTTTGGTTTGCTTTGGTTTTTCTAGTTTTTGTTTGTCTTTTTTTTTTTTGCCTTCTCCATTTTCTACAATACGTGTATGACTGTAGCAGTGGGTGTGGGTGGGTAAATGGTAAACACAGAAAGGATCTCAGAAGAAATAATGGTTTATCCTAGTGTCTCGGAGAATTGTGTACTTGACTTCTCTGCACGTGCTGGACTTTCTCCTCTGATATTAGGGAAACTGAGGCAGAGTTAGAGCAACCAGGTCCAAATTTCAAGAGTGCAAGTGACTCAAGTCACTGTTCCCCAACAGTACACTGTCATGATTAGGAGGTGGCCATCCTGCCTGGATTTAAACTCCTTTGCTGTCCTTAACCAGCTGTGTGACCAGAGGCAAATAAACTTGTGATCTTGTTACCTCATCTATAAAGGATGCTGATAATGATAGTTCCTAGCTAAGGAAAGAGTAAGTGACAATAAGGAATACATATCATGGAGTCATTTTAACCAAGCTGCTCAAATTATTAACATTATAAAGGTCGAGGCATGAGGAAAGGCTCCATTCTTGTTCTAACTAGCCTGAGAACTTAACATTTTTTGAACTTTCCAGGCCTATGTCAATGCCTGGATATACATCTGACCTCCAAATAACCCTCTAATTACCGTCCCCCACCATGGACTCACATATACAGGCCACCTGATTACCCCTTGAAGGACTCAACAAATAAATCCACCTGACATTTATTATCCAGACATTGGGACTGATCAGACCTCTTGGCACCCATCATGCTGACTTGCCTGACACCTGACTGATAACCGTCCTGGACCAACTAAGGCTAAGAATGTAAAACTGATAATTCCCAAGAATGTAGTTTTTACTATAGTAACTTTTAACTTTTCTTCTTTGGAACACTTCTGGGGTTTTGTCTAGCTGTGTTCCCTGTTTGCAAACTCCAAGACCCTTGAATAAATCTTTACCATTTATTTCTAGAAAGCCTCTAGACTATTTGAGTTTGTTCAACATAGTTCATAGGGATTTTGTGAGGCTTCAGTGGGTGCTTAGTACTTCTCACATAGTAAGCAGTCAATAAATTCTAGCTTTTATTATCTTGCTTCTACTGTTAACAAGGATGGGTGGGGAGCTTATTCATAATGCTTAGCTGGTGCCTTTAGTTGTGTAAAGTATGAACGGTCCAACTGTATGCTGATTCTTTCGTTATTATCAAAGATAATGATCATGTTACAGCGCGATTGCCTTTCTCTTACCCTGCCCCTGCTATATTCTTAGCCCCTGGTGAATACGGGCTCGGCCTTTTCCTTGTCTCATCCTCCCAGCATTTGGAAGGCACAATATATGTTGAATTAAATCATTAATTAAATGATTAATAATAGTTATTTCATTCTGGCTCGGCACAAACTTCCAAGTGGCTCATGGGAGAACTGTCTTGATTAGCCTTTACTATGAGAATAACGTTGGCCCTGTGATCACTACCCCAGCAACTAGCTGCCCCCAAAATCCTCTGTGCTCTGCCTGTTCATCCCTCCTCCAAACCCCTGCCAGCCACTGATCTTTTTACTATCTTCATAGTTTTGCCTTTTCCTGAGTGTCAAATAATTAGAATCATATGATATGTAGTCTTTTCAGACTAGCTTATTTTACTTAGCCCTATCCATTTAAGGTTCCTCCGCGTCTTTTCATGGCTTGATCATTTCTTTTTATCACCAAATAACATCCCATTGTTTTGATGTGCCACCGTTTATTTATCTGCAGGGGATCTTGGTTGCTTCCCAGCTTTGGCAATTATAAATAAAGCTGCTATATACATCGTGTGCAGGTTTTTGTGTGGACATAGTTTTCAGTTCACGTGAGTAAATACCAAAGAGCGCAATTATATGTTAAGAGTATGTTTAGTTTTATAAAAAATTGCCAAATCATCTTCCAAAATGGCTCTCCCATTTTACATTCCCACCAGCGATAAATAAGGGTTCTCGTTCCTCTACATTGTGGCCAGCATTTGGTGGTATCAGTGTTTTGGATTTTAGTTATTCTAATAGGTGTATAGTGATACTTCATTTTAATTTGCAATTTTCTAATGAAATGTGATGTTGAAATCTCTTCATATGCTTATTTGCCATCTGTATTTTTTCTTTGGTGGGGTGGCCGTTCAGGTGTTTTGGCTCATTTTTAAATCAGGCTGTTTGTTTTCTTATTGTTGAATTGTAAGAGTTCTTTGTATATTTTAGCTAACAGTCCTTTATCAAATGTGTCTTTTGCAAATATTTTCTCCCAGTCTGTGGCTTACCTTTTCATTCTCTTACCATTGTCTTTCACAGAGCAGAAGTTTTTAATTTTAAAAAAGT